CCTGGACTCCCTGAACTGGCAACAAAAGAGGATCTGGAAAAAATTAAATTAGAAATAATTTCTCAGATAACAGCAGAGATTGTGCCCACAATGCAAGACATGACTAATAAATCTAAAGTGGACACAGATAAAAAATTAGAGGAGCTGAGAAAAATGATGGACTCCCAACGTGGGAAACAAATGGAATCCATAAAACAGATGCAAACAGATTTCCAAGAGATTAACAACTCCACTGAAAGTTTATGCAGCAGAATGAGCCAATGTGAAGACAGAATTTCAGATATAGAAGATAGGATTGCAATTGCTGACCAGGAAAAGAAAAATGTCTTGAAAATAGTAAAGGACCACAGAAAATCAATCCAGCAGCTGATAGACGATGCAAAGAAGAATAATGTCAGACTGATCGAAGTCAATGAAGAAACAGGAGAGAGTGCAGACAACATAAAAAAAAAAACTGTTCACAGAAGTCATGGCAGAAAACTTCCCAAATAGGGGGAGAGAATTTGACATGCAGCTAAGTGAGGCATTTAGGACTCCAACTAGCTGTGATCAAAAAAAATCTACACATAGGTATGTAATAGTTAAGATTTCAGAAACCCAACAGAAGAACAAAATTCTACAAGCAGTTAGAGAAAAAAAACAAATCACATACAAAGGAAAGCCCATCAGAATCACAGCAGACTTCTCAATACAAACCCACAAGGGAAGAAGAGTGTGAAATGACATATTTCAAGCCCTAAAGGAAAACAACCTCCAGCCCAGACTGATGTACCCTGCAAAACTATCTTTCAACATTGATGGAGAAATAATATACTTTCATGACAAAGAGCACTTTAGGAACTTCATGAAGATAGTGCACAGTGAAGCTTCAGCCCTACATTGCCCCTGTAGCCTTCTACCCTAAGAACTCTCTGTGTACTAGAGCACCCTTGTGGGAACTGCAGGAGCTGCAGAGATGGCACCACACCTGAGGCGAAGTGTGAGGCCGGGAAGACAAGCATGAGAGTGGGCGGGAGAATTCATGTCCTCGTACAAATCCAGCCCTTCTCTCTCCTAACACTGTAGTTGGAGGAAAATATCATGGAAGAAGGCAAAGTAAGTGTGCCTAGATTTTAGGGGGCCTTCTAGGAGGGTGATTTCCATCTCCTCTGACCCAGAGCACTGCAGGAACCAGCACAGTTTGCACAGCATTTGGGGGTGCTGGGCTCTGGGAAAAAGATGAGCACCCTGCCTCAGCCCTGGATAGACGGAACTATCGCAGACGATACCAGGGGGGACAGAGGTGACTGTGCCTGGAGAGCACGCAGGAAACCTCTTCGCAGACAACTGCACATACAGCCCAGAGGAGACGCATCCCCACAGGATTCTAGGGCTCTGGAGTCTATAGCTGTGCTGATCGCTGAAGGTCTCACGCTCTACAAAGCTAATCTGTAATAACTGGGAGAGTTTAATTACATCCCACATCTCAGCAAAAGATCACAGAGCATGCAGAGAAACCAAAAGACATGGCTCTAGCAAAGGACAAGCTAAACCTCTAGAAACCAACCCTAGAGAAATGGAGTGGCAGAGCAAAGCCACTTAGTTCATGGCAGCCAGGAAGCAGAACAGGGAAATAGTGCCGGGGAGGATGCAGCAAGAGACCAGAGGTAGACCCCACAGCCATGCCTCCCTGACCCACCCAGACACACCCGGGAGTGGGCTCCACCATCCCCTGGATTCTCCCAAGCCAATCTGACACAATAATGCTTGAAGGTCATAGGTAGTTATATTTTTTAACTGAAAATCCATCAAGAGGGACCCAATTTTTTCTATTACGCTATGTTTTCATATTATTGTATTTTTTTCTGGTGTGAGCATTTTATTTTCACAACAGATGGAAGCTCTTTGAGGCCACTTATAAGTTATTTTGGGGGGACCATATCTTCTGATATTGTGGCTATGAAATTATAGGATTGATGTAAATATGATAATCAGTAGATAGCTTTTGAGAGGGCTCCCAACTGTCTCTACTATCTAGCATCTGTGCTCTTGTTTGTCCTCTTTCCCTTTGAGTATAGGCTGGACCCATTAATATACTTCGGAAAAACAGAGCATGACTAACGCATGGAGATTTTAGTTTCAAGGCTAGGTTAACAACAGGGTTACTTTGTCCTGTTTGGGCTCCTGCTGTATCTCTACATTAGCCAGCTTGCTTGCTTTGATGAAAGAAAGGGCCATATAAACACAGAACTATGTGGTAAGAAAGGGGAGGTGGTCTGTGACCAACATCTCACAAAGAACTGAAATACACCAATTGCCACATGAGTGATCAGCCATCTTCGAGTGTGGCAGACTTAGCCAATGCTTGTGTTACAACTTGGTGAGAAACCCAGGGCCAGAGGAACCTGACCCACAGAAACAGCAAGATAAAAATGGTGTTTCATGCTTTTTAAAAATAAAAGAATGAAAGGTAGGCCTCCCAATTATCCGATCTTGAAAAGACATTTGCAGGCTGGGGCTCTTTGCAGCATCATTAACAATAGCCAGGGGTGGAAGGAACCTGGTATAGGGGGTTAGATGAATAGACAAAGACAATGTGCACTTTAGTCAGGCTTACAAAATAAAGAAACCTCACTCCATGGTACAGAACTGATGAAAGTTGGGGACTGTGCTGTGTGAAACACACCAGTCACACACACAGATACCCGCCACATGCAGTGGTTCCAGTCGTGTGGGACACCAAGTGTCGCAGAACTCACAGGATCAGAAAGGAGAAGGAGAGTTGACAGGCATCTGCTGCTCAGGAGGCAAAGAGTTGCTGGGTTTGCAGGATGAAAACCTTCTAGAGATCTGTTACATAGGGAATATGTTTGTAATAGTACTGAACTGTCCATATAAAGTGGTTAACCAGCTGGATTATATGTATTTTAATATAGTTGAAATTGTTTAAAAATTAAAATCAGAAAATAATTTGATTGAAAGAAAACAGTGCTGATTCTTTGCCACCCACTTCACACAGAAGTCCCGGGAATCACTGCTGCTTCTGGTCAGTGCTCCTCCGCGAGAGGTGGGGATTTTGTCCCTCCCCCATCGGTGGCGCTCGGCTGTGTCCTGGCTGTCATAGCTCCAGTGAGAAGAAGCCTGGAGTCGCCAAGCACCCTACGGCGCCCAGGACGGTTCCCTGCACCAACAAGGGGCTGCCTGTCCACAGCGCGAGCCCTGTCCTGGGCTGCTGATCGGCGGGCGTCCTCACCCAGCCTTTCCCCCCTGAACCGGGGTGGAAGCTGCTGAGGGTGTGGTGGGACTGAGCTGAGAGAGCAGAGAGAGGACGCTTTTGTTCAAAGATTATTGAAGCATAAAGGAAAATAAGGGGGGGGAGAGAACGAGAAAGGGGGGGGGGCTGGCATGATAGTGAGAATATATGGCTCAGATGTGCAGGTAAGGGGCCCTGAATAAACCACTTTGGGCCACTGTGTAGATGTGTTATCACGTGTGATCCTTAAACTTCTCTAAAATCACTAAACTTAGGATGATACAAAAAAAACAGACTGGAGAGACAGTCATTGCTTGGGCGTGCAGATGTCTCTGGTGGATTATTAGGAAGCTCTCCTGGAGGGAAGGCAGGTGTTCTGTCCCTTCAGGTGCCAAGCTCCCTCTCTGGGGGCTCAAGCAGGGCTGCACCCCCACCTCACTAGACTCTGTGGCAGGGACGAGGGCCCAGGGCATGATGGGGAAATGGCAGCAGGCTGCCAGGGAACGGGAACGGGCAGCAGGGAATTAGGGGAGGCGGGGGTGGAGGATTTGCTGCCATTCACCACAAATTTCCGAGCAAATCCAGAACGGCTCCCTGACTCATTTCCAGGACATAACACGAAGAGTCTATTTAGTAATCGTGTGGGATTCTGGGTTTTGAACCAAAGGCTTTCATCCCGAGCTGAATCTCTACCTCTTTTTATGTTTATCTTTAATTATTATTATTCTATATTTTGAGACAAAGTCTCACTAAGCTGCCAGTTACTCAGGCTGGGCTTTAACTGGTCCTCCTGCCTTAGCCTACTAGAATGCTGGGATATAGACAAGTACCAGTTTTGGCCTTTCTTAACTCCTGTCTGCACCGCAAGAGCCAGTGTGTGGAGTCAGGCGCAGTCCCCCAGCCCTGTGAGGTGACAGTGGTGTCTTATGCTGTGATTCTAGGTCCTTCTGCGGCCCCCCTGACCCCAGAAGAGGAAGGGAGTGTGGCAGGTCAGTGCACAGGCAGTGCTGGCTCCAGTGACCTTGCTCCATACACCAAAGGCAGCTTCAGAAGAACCCACCCAGGGCTGACAGGCACAGGACCCAGTCCTCCTGAAACCATGCCAAGCGTGAGTCTGTTGCATTGATCCAAGTCTCTCATGACGTCACATTGTATCTCCTCCTGTCTCACTATGTCCCTGTCTGAGCCCAGGCTTTCCCGAGGACAGTGGTCTATTGTCAGAGACAGAGGGCAGCCAGCAGAGGAGGCAGCTGTGGGAAAGGCAGCAACTAGATGTCGGTATAAAATGTAGCCTTCAGCCTGTCGTGAGTTGAGAATTGGACAAAGGAAAAAGTAGATATAAATAGTAGAGTAATAAAGGTATTGTTTGTGTTCATCATTACTGTTATTGGCCATGTAATAGTGAATGTTTCTTGAAAGCATGTAGCCATTATTACTATTATGAATATGGTAAAATATACATAATGGAATGCTAATGTTCATCGATGTTACTATTCCTGGAAATGTTATTGTTTAGTTACATATTGATGAGTGCTCTTAGAAATGTGATAAACTTCTCATAAATGTTTTCTGTCATTATTAAGGCCATCTTCCCCTGTGAATATTACTCTCTGGTTAGCAGACTAAAAGCTGAGGCTTCGGGAACACAGACTTGTCTAATAACAGGGGCCCCGTGTGCATTGGTGTCCACACGCGCCTCAGGCTAAGTGGCTTCCACACCGTCCCAACAGGAGTTGTTTCTATGAGTAATTTTTCTGAAGTTACTAAGTGACTGCAAAAAGGGAAGTCCAGGCTTAGTACACGAATCTACAAGCTTTGCTTCTCACATCCTGTGTGGCTGTAAACAGTAGACTAAAGGGCTGGTGACTTGCGGAAGACAAAAATCGGGAACTATTGATCGGAAGCAGAGAAGCCGGAGCCACAGCCTCCTGGAGACTCCGAGAGCTCAGTGCACAGCAGGCTGAACCCGGGGACAGGTAGGGGACCCGAGGACTTCCCCTGCCACCACCCCGTGTGAGCACAGGGAGGGAAGATTCCTCCTGAAGCCCCTTGAGATCTCTCGGGACCCAGAGCCCCTGGAAGGAGAATGGGGAGAGGGGAGCAGAGCCTGCTTCGGCCTCTCCTCCTGCTGTTTTCCAGCTGCGTGGTCCTGCTTGGTCACTGACCTCGTGGTTAAGGGCAGCAGAGCTCTAGGCTCTGAATTCTCCCAGGCACTTGCACGTGGGCAGCCCCTGGCTAGGAATGCTGGGGAGGCGGGAGGTGGGGGCCTGCTCACGTCCCATGGTGGGCAGAGGGAGAGATTCGCCCGACACAGGGCAGCGCAGTGCCTGTAGGCAGGACTGGGAAAGGGAGACCGCTGCACACTGTGTGCTGTGTGCGCCTCTGCTTGTGAAATCCAGGACCTCTCGAGACTCACACTGTGTCTCCCGTGCTGTGTGTCACCTGCCACCCGTGTCAAGCATTACGGAAAAATCTCAAGCAACCAAGGCTCTGTGGTTTTCAGATTTCCATCCGACAAGGCTGTTTCCCTAAATGATAGGTCAAGTCTGAACAATGCAGCAAATAACCTACAACTTGGGGAGGCAGAATGTGGATGCCCTGGGCTTTATACGAGCTGAATTTTTTCTCTTCCAGCTTTGGCAGCGACAGCATGACGTCACAGCCCATCCCCAGTGAGGCCTTAGCGGTGCTCACGGCACAGGGCATCCGCCTCCCCCAGACAGAGAAGCCGAGAGCCCCCAGCCAGACACAGCAAAGCCTGGAGAAATGGCTAAAGGCAGAGCTGAGCGTGTTTGGGGTAAGCCCCGCGGGATGGCTGGGGTAGAGGACAGGGGGACACACTGGGATCCATGGTGAGGGAGAGGGTTTCTCTGGCAGGGAGACGCAGGCCGCTTGCTCTGCTGGAGAGCTCTTCAGTCCTTCCCAGGAGAGGCCAACCTGATGAAAACAGTGTTTCCCTCACAGCGAATACCAGTGTTTCACTTTGTGTTGTTTTGCTAAATGCTTTCATATTTTCATATTAAAGTATAGTTCTTTATACTTTCCTCTATGAAACTAATGTTGAAGTGATACATGTTTTACGTGCTGTTTTCTGTGTGTTTTTTGTTGCATATTTAATAGGTATACTGATTTATTGGAGACCTTTTCTTTCACTGCAAACCACAGGAAAGCAAACTTCCCCTTTTTTGCTTCTTTTGAGAAGAAGGATAATATGCATTTTTAGCTCATGTCTCTCCTCTCATCTAGTATTTATGAAAGATCTCCACTGGTTGAAGGGAGGACAGGAGAAGGACTCGGTCCACTCCTGGGAAGAAAACACAGAGTTCTGGCTTCCAGCTCTGTTTCTGCTGGTGGCCCCACCTCAAGCACACACTCACCCAGGCTTCCGTGAGTCATGGATAAAAGTCGACAGAGCTGTGAGCCTCTCAGGTGAAAAGAGGCCAACCTTGCCTCTTCAGACAGAGCCTCGGGATCCCCAAGACCGTTTCATGGATGAAGGAGGTGGTGGGGCTCGAGAGAGCTGGCCCCAAATCCTGTATCTGCTGGGGTTGGGGAGCTGTGGGGAGAGCCTTCTATGCCACCAACACTGCAGTCAGTGTGAGGATTTTCAGATGTTCCCTCTTCACAAGAGAGAGAAGGAGAGCAACTCTCTGTGCATGCAGAGAGCCCTACACTGGCAGAGGCTGGAGACAAGGGCCACGAAGAGACCAGGACCTGAGCAGCAGAAGTGGTAGAGGCTGCAGAGCCCTTGCCAGGCGGCTGAGGTCCTGGTTTCCCGTGGAGGAGCAGCATCCTCTCCAAAATGAAACTCACTCTTCTCACTGCACAGCTTTACAGTTCTACATCCTAGTAGCAGGGGACGATGGAGGAGGACCACGGAAGAGGTAGGCAGGCCCCGTCTTTGCAGTGCTGGTTAATCGTCAGCCTCTCTCCCCCTTCCAACAGACCATCCAGATCCTGTGTGGTGTGGTGGTATTGAGCTTGGGGATCATTCTGGCAGCTGCTCCTGCTTCCCCGTATTTCACCACTGTGTTTTCTACCCTGATAAAATCTGCATACCCATTCGCAGGATCCCTGTGTGTAAGTAGAGTATGGCAGAGGAGGAAGGTGGGAGGGAAGGGAGAAAGAGGTCAACAGTTTAGACTCCTCACACATGGCCTGCTGCATTTGTTTTCAGGGAGCAAGAATTCAATCACACAGTGTCTCCGGTGGGTGTAGGCAGGGAAGGTATGTGTGTGCAGGAGGACAGATATTGCTTTATTTTGAATCTATTCTTACCTGATTCAAATAAGCATTGCTCTTGAAGATCATCTTATTTTTCACCTTATCATTTTGAACTCTGTAATATTAATGGCACTTTTCCAAGGTTTTCCAAAAGTTCTCCTAGTAGAAGAAGGCTTGGAAAAGTACATTTCCATCTAGAACATAGGCACCAGGGTAGGGTAAGTCCTCACACACACCAAGGCCACCCAGATGCTACAGAGAATGGTAGAGGGGGAAGACTTCAGTACCTAAGCAACTGGAGACACACAAGGTCGATTGAGCAACTGTCTGCACTTTGTTGATGGGCTTGAAATTCCATGGAAAGAGCTTCCTGTCTTGGTGTCAGGGACACTCAGGTCCTTCTCTCTGAGGACAACTTTCTTCTAGATTTGTTGGATCAGTCTTTCTTACAAGTAAGCTTTTCAGTCTCATAGTGCTGTTCTATTAGACTCCAACAACTCAGAAACTTTCATTTGCCTTTTCTGTATTTGTTCTTTTGATTAACTAGACATCAACCTTTTTTAAAAATCTGGTTCATTTTTCTTATTTTTATTAACTGCAGTCTTCATTTTATTTGATTTCTCCAGTCCTCCCCAGGTGCCCTTCTGTTGTCCATGATCCATTCAAGAGCCCTGTGTGGTATTTAGTTATTCTGTCTCCTAAGACTCCTGCAGACTTTATCACCATCATTGACTTTGATGGTTTGAGGGATTTTTGTCAACTTTGTAAATTTGAATTTGTCTAACATTCCTCTCATGTTTAGACGAAGGTGAAGATGACAGAGGTGACCTGCCTTTCTCTTCAGGTTACCGTAAGGGAGCAGACTATCAGGACATATCACTGGCCAAGTTTGCCTTGTTCATGGGTGGAGGTAGAGTTTTCCAGACTTCTCCACTGTAACATGATTTCTTCCCTCCTCTTTCCATTCTCTACTCTTTGCAAGTGAGTCATTAAACACAATCCACATTTGAGAGACAGCTAATTCTCTTTTTTAAAAACTCATTCTGTAAATACATGACTTAATCCTGGGATAATCAGAACCAAAGATTTTCTTCCAATATGTTTATTTTCAATGGATGTTGTGTCATGTAGCCTGACTAAGTCTATTAGACTTTGAAGACCTCTGTGAGAGAAAATAATTTTCTCTGAAGTTCTAAACACAGTCTTAAAGGTTTCCTGCCACCCAGTCTCATTGTACCTTTTGTTTTCTTTCATCATTTTATCTTTGCCAGTGGTGCCACTCACTTAAAAGTTTTGACCTGGCTCTTCCATGTCTGTTAAAAATCCTCATCCTCAGCTTTTAAAAAATTAATTCAATCCCTTCTCAAACACTGAGAAGAGACTCTGGCCAAAGGACTGTTCGAAGAGAATGAAAAAAGGAAAGGATTTTTCTAGACAACAGCTCAGGACTCCTGAGATGCACAGTTAGGGTTCAGAGCAGAATCTGCAGAACCACAGTCAGAGTGAAAAGCAGTGTGTTCTCAGAGATGTTTGCTTTGGCCGTTGTGTCCCCTCTGCCTGATCATGTCCTTGTTACAATATACAACCCCAGAGGTCTCAGCTCTGTTTCCCTGATGCTCTCTTAAGCTGAAGGATCAGCCCCTCTGGGGCCCCTCTGTGACTGAACTGAAGTCTCATCTCCAAGTAATCTTTCTTTCTTTTTTTTTGTTTTTTTTTTGGTACCAGGGATTGAACTCGGGTCCTTCCACTTGCGAGGCAGGCAGCGAAACCACTGAGCTAGATCCCCGGCCCAATCCAAGTAATCTTTCATTCTGTGCCCCACCACAGTCACATAGTGTGACAAAACTCTTCCAAACGAGTAGTGAAAAGAAGGGAATCTTTTCACGTTCCTTTCACAAGCCCCGTATTATCCTGATGCCAACACCAGACAAGGGCAATAGAAGGAAAGAGCATGATCTCCATGAGGAGGCAGATGTGAACTCCTCCACAAGATTCCAGAAAAATGAATGCAGCTTCACATTAGAAAGATAATTCAACATGATCAAGGGGGATTTATCTTTCTATTGTGTTTTCTTGATGCCTGTAGTATTCCATAATGAGGGGGTTTATTTTGGGAAGTTGGTGCACGCATTTAACATATCTTAACCAATGTCAATCCAACTATCACCCCTTCATCCTTTTCCTCTCCCCTCCTGTTCATCCTCTTCCTCATATCTTAAAGTCTAGCAACTAGTTTCCTGTTTTCTCTCATTTATTTATTTCCTTATTTATTTACATTTTTTAGTTTCTCATATGAGAAAATATATTTACCTTTCTCAGCCCAGCAACTTTCCCTTAATATGACGGTTTCTATTCCCTCTATTTTCCTTTAAAGGATGGGATTTCATTCTTTTTTATGGCTCTGTGACATTCCATTGTGGACATAGGCCACATTTGCTTTCTCCCTTACTTATTGACAGATATCTAGGCTTTTCTTCATCTTAGCTACTGGGAATTACCCACTATAAACATGTATGTATCACTATGGTATTCAATCCTTAATTCTTTCAGGAATAGACCCAAGAGTGGTATAGCTGGGTCAAAGTGTATTTCTATGTTACTGTTTTGAGGAATCTCCACACTGGTTTCCATAGTGCTTGTTACTAATCTACATTCCCACCAACAATACAGGAAGGTTCCTTTCTCCCACCTCTTCTCCAGCATTCATTACTTTTGTACTGTTCATGACAGCCATTCCGATAGAGGTTACATGGAAGAATCTCAGTGTAATTTTTTTTTTTTGCATTTCTTAGATGACCGGATCTGTTGAACTTGTTTTTATATAGCTTTTGTCCATTTGAACTCATTCCTTTGAAAAGAATAAATTCAGTTCATTTATGGACTTTTTACTATGTTCACTTTTTATGGGAATTTATCTCAAAGGTGTCAGTATGAATATATGTGTAAATCATTCAGAGTGACCCACTGTGTTAGTGCCAGGAAGAATGGAAGTCACAAGATGATCTCTAGTTCTTCTCTGTTCAGATCATTTGCTCAAATTCTTCTACAAAGAACACTGAGCTCTAAATTTTTTCTCTCTTGGTTAAAAAAAAAAAAAAATCAAATCCTTCTTTCCTGACCTTTAAGTTCCTCATTTTGCTTCCTGAGATAGCTCTGGCCCCATGTGCCTTTCACAAGGTTACTGAATACTGCACGCAAAGGGGCAAATACTGCACGCAAAGGGGCAAATCTTTGTTTTTAAATGTGTCTGTCCTTCATCACTGGTCATTCCTTCTCCGGTGCTTTTCCATGACAGGTTCTCATGAAGACCAGATGGTAGGTGCGTAGCTTCTCCATACCCGGGCACTGTCCTGACAAGTTTCTCCTCTTTCCCAAATAGTTCATTGTTTCTGGGTCTCTCTCCATCATCACAGAGAAGAAGTCCACTAAGCCTTTGGTGAGTACGGGAACCACAGCCCTGATGGGTAAAAATGAGACACAGGGGTCTTCAGGGCATCTGCCCATTGTGAAATGAAAGCCCCTCACTGATAGATTTAGAATCTAACTCTGGATCCCCCATGCTCTTGTCCTCATGACACCCCTCCCCCAGTCATAGAGCTCTAAATCAAATTCTGTATTCTGAGCAAGGGCTCAGGAGCCTCACACAAAAAATTCTCCTGCTTGTGGACCAGTTTTACTGGTAACACTTGTTGACATTTGGCTCCTTAATGATGAAGAAGCTGAACAGTGTTAGAAAAAAGTTCCTTTGCTGTGGGTGCCTTGTATAATCCCTTGCATCAAATCTGTGGGAAACCCCAGATAAAATGCTGCCCACATGAGGAATTGCTTCTCATTCATTCATCTATCCCACCAGAAAGCTGACACTGCTATTGGTTTCAATGTAAGCTCTTTAGTCACAAAGTCGTTATTAGTCATTTCCGTGACTAAGGGATCAACTTTGCCTACTTTTAACTTTTTCCAGGAAAAACTCAAGTTGGAAGTGGTAGGGACAGGAAAGCCGGATTTTAAGGCAAGGATTTTGTAATCTGCAAAGATTTGCTTAGTCGCCACTCAACCTATGTACCTCAGGGGTTCATGTAGAGTCTCCCCAGAGAATGCCATACAAGTGCAATAGCACAGGAACTCAAGTGGAAAATTTGACTATGCAAATCTCTCCCAAGCAGCAAGGAAATTTGAGAAAGTGCTCAGGGCAATGCCAGCCTCTCTCTGTCTTCAGAAATTAGAGACTACTCTTGAGAACTGCCCCTAGACCCTGAGCCACTGGTAGAGCATCCAGCAAATCCCACTGTGATGACTGTACCATGCTCCCTCTGTGCTATTACACTGGTGCACTGAAACGTGGTGAAACTGATGCAGTAGACTTTAGTACTAATTTAATTGTATTTAAATGTAAGTGGTTCGTGTGGCTGGTGACAACCCTACTGAATAGCATCTTACACAAACAACTTTTTATACTTCCAGGGGCTGGGGGGGTGTATAGGACTCCTACCCCAGCTGGAAACATGCAGGAATCTCAGGGACACAGGATGCAGTCTCAGAGTGGGCTGAAGCCCACTTTCAACTCTTGTCTTACTCATCATGTCACCCTCTCCAGGCTGGAGAAGGGGCACAGAGGAAGCCTGGAATAGTCTTAAGTCTATATACTGTGGACATCAAGACTCACCCAGCTCCTAAAGTGCCCAGCACTAACCAATGGTTCCTAGGTGCACACGCAGCCCTAACACACAGGCCTTTCGGGAACAGCGGCCAAACCCTGGCAGTGCCCGTGCCTTTCACCACACTGTCCTGCGGCACTGCAGGGTGGGCCTCAGGTGGCCTTGCTGTCCATCCAGGCGAAGGTTTTACAAGGGGAATTTTCACTGCCCCATACTGAGAGACCTGCCAGGAGAAGGACAGGGAGGGAAACGCGTGTTCGGTCACTGGGCACTGTCTCTAGCTCCAGAGATGTCTGCCGGCCCTAAGGCGGCATTCCAGACAGACTGCTCTCCCTGGACCTCCTGATGGGGACAAAGCGGTGAATGTTTGCCATGCCCTGGGAACGTGTCCCAGGGGCCCTGCTCTCTGGACAGCGCCATCCTCACTCAGCATCTTCTTCCAGGTTCACAGCAGCCTGGCCTGCAGCATCCTGAGCACCGTGCTGGCTGTGTTGGGTGTCGCTCTGCTTTCTTACACCCTGGCTGCTCTGGATTCCGCCTTTCAGGAGTGTGAGCTGAGCAGGATGTCCAGGCCGACCACCCAGTCCTATTTTTATTTTCACCGTGAGAGTTACAGCACCGACTGCTTCGTTGCCAAAGCCAGCGTGATGGTGGGTGACGCCAGACTGTGGGAGCTGGGGTGCGTGTGGTGACAACCCCGACGCTAGTGTCCTTCCTCTGGACAGTCCTCTGTCCTCTGCTGTGAGGTCCTTGGGGGGAGACCCTGGCTGTGTGAACGGAAGGGAGTGGCAAGCAAGACAGTGAAGGGCAGGGCCAAGGGGCTACTCACATCTTTAAACCAAGAGTCTTGGGATGTGGAATTAAGGAAATCAAAACAGAAGGAAGACTCGAGCGATCAAGACATGGCACAGGAAACCTGGTGTGTGTGCGAACGTGAGTGCATACGTGTAGCGAGGGCAAACCTGGTCCCGGGCAGATATCAGACCCGGAAATGAGGATCAGAGAGCAGGAAATATGGGAACTGTTCTCAAGGAGCTCCTCAGTAAGGGGCGCTGGGCCCAGGCCGGGCTGTCTGCCAACCGCGTCCTCCCGCAGGGCGTGCTGTCTGTGATGCTACTCTGCTCGGTGCTGGAGCTGGGCCTGGCGGTGCTCACGGTGGTGCTGTGGTGGAAGCAGGCCCGGGCCCACTTCCCTGGGGTGAGTGCACGGTGGAGGGCGAGGAGCCTCTGCGGGTGCTGGGCGGGCGGGAGCCTCTGTGGGAGCCGGAGGCTCCAGCTGGGGCAGCCCTCCTGCTCCTTGAGGGGGAGCAGCAAGAAGTCCAGGCAGCGGGCATCGGTATGGGTTTGTGCCCAGGACCTGGACCCCAGCCCCCTCTAAGCAGCAGAAATCTCTTCCATAGCACTGCTGCTCTTTATGGGGTGGCTTGGTCAGGTGGACTTGCCCAGAGGAATGGGATCAGTCTGTGTCTTATGCGCTGCTTCTCCCTCCTGTGACCTGAGAATACTTTTCTTTTCCTTAAAGAGTTATTAAGGAAATACCATTGGATCAAATTGCATGGGGTTTTGTCCTACCACTGCTAAGAACACATGACTTCACTTAACTAAATTAAAATGCTTTGATTTATTCAAACTTTTAATCACAGAGAGTGGAATAGACTGATGAGCAGTAATTATTCAGAGAACTTGATGATGTGCTGTCCTTATCCTGGGATACCAAAAATTTTGTGTCCGAAGCTGAGGAAATGGCAGCAGGCTTAGCTGAGAGAAGTCAGTAACCTGACGGGCATATTTTCCTGCTTCTAGATTGTGCTCTTCCAGTCTTACAGTCACAAGAACAATCCCAGCATATTCTCAAAGACACATGGTGACTCTGGATATGAAGAGCTAGTGACTTCTTAATAAAAGGAAGACAGAACATTCAGAAGAAAGCTGGTCTTTTGGTAACAGCAGACATACCCTCAAAAGAGAGGAAGGTTAGAGCTTCCTAAATGCGTGCTCTCTCACACAATGGGCATTAAAGGCTTTGGCGCATGTGTTCAGTGATGCTTTCTTCATTTGCCTGACGATGCCCTTCGGAAACACAGGGCCATGCCATTCAAGGGTGGGGCTCACTACACTGGTGAGAAGCCCTAGCCCCTTCCTGGGCCCTCCAGTGGAGCCTGGCGACCTGCAGGACACACCGGTTGCTTGCCTCCTTTAGTTGCAGATGAGGGCTCATCTCTTGAGGGGCTGCAGCTCTCTCCGTGGCACTGGCTTCATTACACGCACTTTACACATTTGTTTGCAGATACAAGTTCCTACCTTGCAATCACAAGACCTTTTAGAAAAGTAGTTGACTTCAAAATAAAGTCTTTGTATGATTACAGATTTTATGTGAAAATTTGGTTTTCATTTTTCCTTGAAGCACAGAGTAAGTCAATAATGATAGATACAACAGTAAATGTGAAGTCCCTTTACTGCCCCACTGACAGTTCAACCAAAAAAGCAAACAAAAGCTAATCAGGGATATTTATCTGTTATTAAGAACCAGGGAGTTCAGAGGTTTCTCTGATTTCCACAATGAACAGAAACAATTGTAAATTCTGAACTTCCTCAGCACTCACAAACAATAAGCATACATATACACACAACATTTCACCTATTGCTTTACCTATTGTGTAATGTACCTCTGAGTTTGGAGGAAAAGACATCAAAATAAAGATATATATTAAGTTGAATCTAAGTGTACAGTTGGTGTTTAGCAAAATATTTCTTGTACCAGACATTACACTCAATTCCAGGGTTCCAAATGAATAAGATGCACTCTTTGGCTTCAAGAAATTTGTAGTCTAGTACAAGAAGTGTAGGCAACAGTAAAATTGAATTCATATTTCAGGACATTAGGCTCTGTTTGAGCACAGAATAAAGTACACTTTCTTCTGCTTAAGAATGTAGAAGATAAATGAGAGGCGGGAAAGAGAGAATGAGAGAAAAAGACAGAGAGAGGAGAGAAAGTGACAGAGAGACAGAGAGTGCTTCCCTTGTGGACCCCCCCTTCATAGCGTCAATCACATAGTACCTCCTCCTGTCACCTGGGAGGGAGCTCCCCAAACGCACACCGGCTGCCTCCACTTCCTGTAGTTCCCACTCCAGCTCCATCCTCACCGCCAGGAACCAACTTTTCAAAATCAGTTATAGAAGAGGAGACGTTACTGCCAACTCTACAGACGCTAAAAGGGTGATAAGGGGATAAAATGAACTACTTAACACCAACAATGCAGTGAGATGAAATGAGGAAAAAATCACGGAAAGACATAGATTGTCAAAAGTATCTCAAATATAACTAGGAAAAAAAGAATTAGAAAATAAGAAAGGTTTTATAAGGAAAGGAATACAAACAGTATTTAAAGCCTTCTCAGCCAGTATATCTCAGGCTCCGCTAACTACTAATCACTTATGATGACGTTCAAGATTTAAAGAAAGCAATAATAATTTATGAACCCATTCACAATAAAGTGGAGGAAAGCACACACCCAACGTATTCTACGCCTTAGTGTCCTGATATCAGAGGCAGATGGAGACCGTAGAAGAAATGAAAGCTACAGAGAAATCCCTGGCGGCTGGGTCCTCCAAGCTCACTGCAGCTGGGAGGTGACAGCCCTTGGGTCTCCCACCCGGGTGTCCGTCCTACCCCGGGGAGGACAAAGCCCTCGGGTCCTGTTTCCCTCTTGTAGCCAAGGAGAACTTTCTGTCCTCTTCTGGTCCCTACGATTCTCCTTCCCTTTAATCCATTCTGATAAATTCTAAAGATCCCTGTTCACCGGAAGAGAGAATTTATTTACGCAGTTTATGGTTGTCCAGGTGGCTTGGGGTAGGGCTCCCCCTGCTGGGCAGAAACGGCAAAGTTCACTTTTTCTTTTGCTGAGTCTGAAGTGCAGACCGTGAATTTTTAACTAATCTGCCTCTTTTCTTATTTTTTAGTGTAGTTCCCTACTCATCCATTTTATAAATCCAGAGATTATTTCTCACCGGAAAGTGATTCTAAAGGTCTTGCTCTTATAAACATGATTGGTTATGACTCTAGCAGTTTGCAATCTATCACCTTCCATTGAAATATCTCTTACATGTATAAGAACATCCTTGACAATCTTTTGTTAAAGGTGTTTCCGTCTTCAGCAAAATGTCTGCAGTTTCATTTCCGAAGCTGAATGCTCTAGCAGTGACAGTTAGGGTTCATAGAACTCGTTTACAATCTATGGTTTTTCTCAGGAAAAGGAGAGGATACAGCATCAGGGTTAGGATAGGCCTCCTACCACAGACGGGCCCTGAGAAACCAGGCCTGAATTCCAAGGCCTTGGCTTCCTCTCTGGGATGCATGTCCTGCTTGTGACAGAACCACAGCAGAGCTCCTCAGAACCAGAACCCCCTGAATGGTGACCCAATTGGGGCCCTTGCAGCTGGCTTGTTGGATGGCAGATTTCTTGCCATGTGATCAGCCCTTGGAGGCCATCTGTGCATCTCACTGAGACCACACGCAAATCTCTGACCCACTGTGACGAATACCCGATGCTCGTGAGTTGGCACAAACCACTTAGTGGCTCCACCCACACTGAGCCTCAGGGACAGGGTTAATCAGGACCCTCCTGCCTCGACCGAGGGCCAGCACCTGCAGGAGCAGCAGCGGACAGCTTGAGCCATTTCAGGTCTGCTGAAATTAACCCAAGGGCAAAGCATATCCATCAGGAAATGACAATTAATCTTTCTGCAATCAAATCACCCTTGTGTCTGATTTCTGGCATTCAACAGAGTAACTTTGAAATTCTTCTCTCTTCTTGCATCTGTCAGCAGCTTGTCCCTTTATACTGTTGAACAGTATTTCACTGCATGAGCTTTGCTTTTGATAGCCATATGGCGTGTGAGTAAAGCCGCAGTAATTACGATATTAGAAACATACATGTCTACATGTGTACACTCTGTGTATTTCCATTTCTTGAACAAATACATCAAATAAAATAACACTATTAGATAAATGTATGTTTGACTCTATAATAAATGTCCAAACTGTTCTTCAACTATTTTTAGTTTTCAAATATAATGTGTTCCTATTATAAGTGCTATTAAAGATTTTCTAAGGTTAAATAATTCCTAATGTTAAATAATGAGTCCCACTAGAAGTGATGGATCTTCAACTTTTTAAAATATATCCTCCTACTTTTTGTAGTATATCTTTAAACTGTTCGAATCAGTATTCTTTAGGAAGTGTGGGCTATAAATTGCCATCCTGACACTACCTACATGCACGCTCAATTGAATTTGTGACAGATGATCACAGACAAGATGACATCAAGCAATGCGATTGTGTTTTGGAGCTCTATACATTATGACCTCACTCTAGGCTCACTTGGCTAAACCAAGAAGCCCGAGGACTGCCTCCTTTCTGGACCCTCCAAGAAGAGAGAATCCATTCCTGGACCCTTTCGCTATGAGCAGTTGATGCTGGCATCCTTCTTGTGAGCCACAGCTGGGGAAGTGTCTCCACCTTAAAGGCATCATTTTGCTTAAGGGACGACAATAGAATTATTGAAAATAAAACATGTATTAGCTTGTGGTGGGCACTGACCGGGTGCCTCTTTTCAGGAGACACATGGGTGAAAACACCAGCCCTGGGGTGTGAGAAAGCAGAGGCACAGAGAGCTGTGTACTGAGTGCTAATCAAAGCTCTTTTCTTTCCTCCTGTGAAACACTTGGCTAGATCTGGGCAGGAGTTAAACAGCCCGATCCAAGTAATACAGTATTTCTATTTTTACAGTTTTGGAAACCTGAAAGATCTCAGTCTGTCCTGGTTCATGATACTGCAGAGAATGTAATAGAGGTGTATAAAAATCAATAAATAGAAAGAAGTGTTTCTTACAGTTTGCTCATCTCAGTGGCATTTCCGGTGTAGATAGTCAGGGACAGTCAGATACGTATCATCCCGAGCTGACATGCACTCTGCAGAGCCAAACCCGGTAGGAAAATGATAGGGAAAATTGAGAGGAAATGCTGACTCTCCAGCTTCTATCCAAACGCCCCTCAGCACAGACGCGCTCGGGACTCCAAGGAGGGCTGGGGTCACCACGGTGCGTGAACGCCCACCTGTGGGGCCAGCAGAACCGCTGGCTCCTGCTGCCGGCGGCAGGAGAGAGGGAGCCCGCGTGGGAGCTTCCTCGGTGCTGCCACCGCCACGCTGTCCACAGCCTGATGCCTGGCAGGGCGGCTCCCGGCCCGCCTAACACTGCTTTCCTCAGGAGTCCCCGCCTGAGCAGGTTTCCAGGCACAGACAGAGCGCGCTGCAGGGTCTGGGACAGCTCCTGCGTTTCCATCCGCTCTACTCCGTCACAGCAGGGGGTTCACATACTAACCGCATTTTCTTCTTTTTCTCTGCCCAGTTTACTCCAGGAGGGGAAGAGAGGACGCGCAGGGCAGACAGAGAGGGAGGAGAGCAACCCCGCGGCGATGCCCACAGCTCTTGCCTTGTTGACGGCCCGGCGACCTTGCACCCGAATAGAGAGAGACAGAGCGATGCAGGCTTCCAGCTCCAGGAGGCGCACGGGGCCAACATAAAGCCCCTGTGGCAAACACCGTGAAATGCAGAATGCTGTGAAGCAGGAGGAGGCGCTCACGGCCCATGGAGGACACGGGTGGGTGGTGGAGGGGAAGCTGGGGAAGGGGAGGTGGGAATGTGCGCACAGCAGGGGTCACCCGCACTGCGACTCCAGTGCTGTCCTCCGCACGGAGGGAGATCCGGGAGCTCCCCGACATGGACATCACTAACCCGCTCCGACAGGTAACAGCACTGCGCTCATCTCTAGCAGCTCTCGGCCAGGACAGCAGCGGCCCGTGGAGCAGGGGAGGGGCCCTGCAGACTTCCCGGCCCCACGGCGTCGCGTCCTGCGGGTCTCCCTGTCTCGGCACAGCCCACTCGCCTCCGGGGGACGCTCCCTCTCCAGCCAGCCCTGCCTGCTCAGGGTCCCTGCTCCACGGCGCTCCTGAGCTGCCAGCTTCCTGATCCCCTCAGCGAGACGTGAGCACCACGTAGTAAGTGCTGCTGGGAGAACTTTCGTTCCTGCAGAAGTTTCTACTAAATAGTCTCACACCAGGGCCCTCACAGTGGAAGAGGTTTTGAACATTTAACAGAACCCTGATCCTGTAAGTTTTGGAGATGGTTCAGCATCCATGGTCCAGTGGCTCCTAATCGAGTTCATGGTGGGAATTCACAACGACCATCGCAGATGATAAACCCATTTGCAAGCTGCTATCATTGGAAGGAGAAATACTTACTGCAGCATGGAGAGGAGGGTTTGCTACATGGCAAACTGACACGTGAAGCCACTCTGCAATGTCCAGAACTCGTGCACCAACTCCAAAGCCTGCTGCAGTAGAACTGAAGGAATTCATTCCCAGGCTTCCTGGGTCTGAAAAGCAGGAGAGAGAAAGGCCATCAAAAGCCCATAATCTCACGCTCTTCCTGTGTTCAGTGGTCTGGAAATGACTCTAGCTCGG